AAATTTACTTTTTTTTTAATTTAGGCCGGGTTATTTCTTTCATTGTTTGATTAAAGACGTGCAAGCCATAGGGTTAAGATAGTTCATCGATTCCCGGCCCTAGCTAAATTCTAATAATGATTGTCTTTATATTAACTACTTTACATCTGCCGATTGTACCTTGTTTATTTAAGGCTATATAAATATATTTTGATGTATATATACATATCTATCTCCGTGTTCTTTATGTTTTTTTTTTATATTATGTATGACTGGCTTAGAGGTACATATATTTTTGCAATTCACAAACATTTTTTTTGTACCTGGTTATAATTGCCTAGGCAACCTCAGGTGTTTTTACAACTCTAAACATTCGGTTTGAGTCGTTCTAAACATTCCTGTTATTATCATACATTAAAAAAAAACTCTGGGTGAGTTCCAATCTATATAATAGCCAAATATCTCGAGATAGGCACGCCTAATTAGTTTATTCGCCCCCCTTGCGTATTCACTTTTAAAGGGGTACTCTGGCGCTTTCTTGACAGTCCCCGATTTTCATGAAAATTCGTCAAAAACCACAACAAACATCGCTGTCCTGGGACAATCACTTTAATTTTATAATTCCTAAACTGTCACGAATAACTGGATTGACATGCCGTCATCGATCAATCTTGCCAAAGACTGTGAAGTTACTAACGTATAGTTCACTGTTTTATTCCCACTTAAATTACTACCATCTCCGTCTACAGCTACATTATTCAATCTTCAGAAAATACTTCTAGTAAAAAAAAGGCGTTGAGGTCTATCGGTGTTGTACCATTTGACTCTCATACAGCTGGTCTGTTTATGGCTCTCCGTGTTATCAATATATACAATTTATACAACTATAGACTTAGCAATGCATTGAAATTGGAAAGCTACAGAAACACGCGTTTTGTTACGAATTTGGAATCAAAGGAACCGGTTTGCCCCATTCGTCACGCAGAACATTGGGAAAGGGGGGCGCAGGGGACAAATTACGGCTCCAAGGTGATTTCATATACGCTGCCTACATAGCTCAACCAGTTTGATGATAGTGAGTTGGATCTGATAAGGATGTCATTTAAGCAACTACGAAAATAGTTCGTAAATTTAAATAGGCAAAATACCAATGATCTGCCGGTTTGTTTAATATTTCCAGGATTATTTAATCTTTTTTAGTTGCGCGTGGTGTGTCAAGCTTTATTTCACACCATTTTTTCTCAAGCTACACCATCAATGTACATGAAAATAAACGAATGATTATTATTATTATTATTATTATTATTATTACTAAAATATTGGGACGAATATTTTTAGACGCTTAGTTATTGGTTTAATATATTAGTCATTACCGTGTTTTTTTTAAAGTGCTAGTCCCTACAGTCACAAATTAAAATACTTACATCAGCGGAAGGCTGGGGTACACTTTTTGGACTACAGACTTTGTTCCGAACTGATTACCCGAACAGCTTCATACTATCAAATAAATACCTTGGAAGCTTGTTTCAGTACCTGCGCAACAGCGCGAAACACGTGCTTGGCATAGTCTATTTATAGACTGGCCGCTCGACCTGCAGACCTGCCTTCTCCTGACCAAACGGAACTACGAGGTGCATAAATATTTAAAAGTTATTTTTGGTCTAATATTCTCTTGCCGATTTTAAAATAATTATTTTTAATTTTACGCGTATCTAAAGCTTCTTGGAAGCCACAAAAGTCCTAGTATTGAAGACGAAATCTGTTTAAAATATACCATTAAATCTATATTGTTTCTATGTATATATCTAAGAACAAATTGCACACTTCGATTGACTCATATATTACCGTGGTAACACTACTTCAATAATTAATAGGACTGAGAAAACTGCAATTTATTAACTGTCATATTGTCATTTCAAGGAGGAAATGTGGCATGTCATATATTATTTCGGCAGTATGTATAATTGATAAAAGTTTGACCTTACTGTGATATTGCCATATTTGCAAATTAACCTGTGAGCACTTAAGGGAAGCAAGTAGCGGATCTCTAAGACATGGCGAAAACATGCAAGTCGTGAATTTTTCGGCACTTTGGCAAACAAAATATCGTCAAGTCAAAGTTGTTCAGGAGGCTTAAAAGTGCCTGTGGCGAAAAAAGCGGGCCTTGATTATGTAAATAAAAAGCTTACATATTCGTCCCCGAAACCCTTAGCTAAATTGGACGAGTTTGAAGACTGCGGCCTCAGACGCTCCAACAGATGAATTGAAACCGTCGTCAAATTCCCTTAAAAGTGCAGGGCTCAGCTCTCTTTAACGACCGTTTCGTTTGGTTTCAAGCAGAGCAGAGAAAGCCTTAGCCCGCTTTACAGGCACAATTGTCTCGCTTTCTCTTGGAGCTCAGCGGCTTACACTCGTTCGTGCTGAAAACTTGAAAAACAACTAAAATATTCTAAACGGAACATTCTGTGTTTTTTTACTAGAGACAGCAAAACAAAACAAAAAGCTATCCGCTTGAAACGAATGTTTTTGCCAGTTTTTCGTCCAGTGAGCTCGCCTATAACTTCGTTTATCTACACAAATAATGATGTGGCTACAAATTTCACGTAATTAAAGTTAAAAAAAATATTATCAAACACCGACGACGAACACGGATAACCGCTCACTTTAGTTTGCAAAAGCGTTTCATTTTAGACACGAAAGTTTAGTGCAGTGAAGCAGATTTAAGAAGAGAAAAGAAGAGCACACGAATGGAATCAGGGAAAGGTAGAAGGCGCCGCATCCGTGAAATCTGCATTTTTCTTGATTATTTTTGTGTCAAGATTTTTTTCAGTTTTCTCAGACAATACATGTTATCCTCAACATCAAGGGAAAACAAATAGTCCTGCGAGGTTTCAATGCCGCTATCAAACAGAAGCAGTACAATTGACCAGTTTCGGCAGTAAAAAAATATAAAAGAAAACGCTCAAATTAAACACACTATACATATTAAAGATCCAACATTTGCAGAACGAAAGCACATAACATCAGAACAGTCATACAAAAAAAGTTGACGTTTTTTTATATATATATATATTTTTTTAGCAAACTTATTTCGAAATATTTTTATGTTGAAAGGCTAGATGTGATGAGTGTTTTAATAAAACTTCAATTGTAGAAGTTATTTGGTATCTGGTACGCTAATGTTCATGTGGACATATTTGTTCAGATTTCACGCTGTATATATTTATCTAGACGAGTATTATGATCGTGGTCATGTCAAAAGCAGATAGGCACGTAAGTACGTGTCCTAACTTTATTGTCCCGATAAATTTGGATCGCACGTCAATAATAATATCGTTGGTTTTGTGTCTTACAAAATGTTATATCGCTCGAAAGAGGGAGTTGAATACACGTGAAAATCATACCTGTTTATTATGCGCAATGCCCTTTTACAGTATTTGTACATGCTATATATTTAAATTCGCTACATTACTCCAGATAAAAAAAATAGAAAGTAATACATATTGGGTTATATTAGAGCGCACCAAATAATTATTTTACAGAGGAAAGCCGGAGTATTGATTTAGAAATTTCGATTCCTAATGTGTTCACGTGGTGTGTCCAGTTCTTGCCCTAATGACAAACCGTATATGTTTCCCACTAGTATTTCCTCAATATTTTTACGCACCTTTCATAAAATGTTTGAATCTTTAAGCGTTTTTCAATGGGGTCTGAGGTACCCTTCAAGGATTCCTAAAGCTTGTAAGAGATGCTCACAACTTCTGTGAGGCCAGTGGATTCTCACCCCTTCCTTCCTGTGAAACCACAGCACCCTTAAAAATCGTGTTAACGGGTCTGCGGGAAAATCACGTGAGCCTTCGGAATATGTGCGCCAAGGAAGCCGCTTGACCATTTAATGCGGGCGGCCGGAACGAGTGTTGTAAACTAAGGGATGTCCCTTTGTCCCTATCCTGCTCTTGACTTGGTTAAAGGGCCCCACTACAGCGTATACGTCTCTTGTGTATGTGTTTCACGTGCTGGACTCGGAATAGCCAAGGACGCCAAGAGGCCGCTTACCGAGGTGAGATGATCCGAGGGGAAAACCAGAGAGAAACTTTTCGCTCTTTCTTTAAGATTACTTGTTTAAGTCAGTCGAAATACAGCCATTGTCAGAATTTAGTCGGCCCGTACTTTCTCAGCCAACGAGCGGGAACTGAATGCACATCAAAGAGCCAGCACTCAGTGCCGGCTTGCCGTCCCATGCATGAGACCTATCGTCTAGAGCAGCTGGGGTGCTGATTAGAAAGGTCTCTCAGTGCCCTGTTTCTTGCGCTCACTTGTTTGTCCGGCTTCAGAGCCACCCAGCACGCAAAGAAAAACGCCGGAGACGACACTGCGCCTCAACTATAAAAATACACCTTGCCCGTGCTTCCTTTTTCAACCTCGACGGATGTCGGTTGCCCGTGTGTACGGTACACGTGCTCGGTTTTTCTTTAAACTAATGTACGTTTCAGGAATTTACCCAGCGGCATATTGCTTACCTAGAAATATATATTTTCTACAAAACATTTGTTGTCTCTATTTAGTCTGGTCGATTTGGTCTACAGCTGCGTGCGCCGGGGTTTGATTGAACTTTTGTTCTTATTGCCTTCCTGAGTTACAGCATGCAGGTCTAAGATGATGTCCAAACATTTCCAATACCATATCAAACTGCATCTTTGGCCTACGGTTCACAGTCTTTGGTGAGTTGAAGGGGTCGAAAGGCTGATAGAGTCTTAAAGGTTGAGTGAGTCTCAAAATCTGAAGTGTCTAAATGGCTGAAGGGGTCAATCAATCAATCAATCGAGTTTATTGTCATGAGTTGCATCGTACAATTTATTGAGAACCATCTGGGCCCATAGCCTTTTGGCTAGTTTGGGCCCATTTTAATAATAACATATTAGGAAGGCAGCACTCTTAAGAAATATTACTGGAAATACAATAAAAGGAAAAGAAAAAAAAGAAAGAAACAAAGACAATAGAAAATAAACGTAGAAAGTGACTTGTTCAACTATATCCGGTAATTTATACATTATATAATAAAAACACGAGGAGCACGAGTGTATTCAAAGTGAAATGAATTTTTATGAATTCAATAACAGAATATGCGATTGAGTTTCAGGATGGTGGGAGACATGTTCTATTTAAAAAAATATAGTATTTCAAAGCGCTGTTAAAGTCGCCTGACTGGGTGACTGAAGATGGTAAAGTGTTCCAGATTTTAGTTCCGCATAATTGCATCAGTCGCTCGCCGTATACGTTATGAGACCGTGGTATGTTAAAGTGACCAGATGTGTTCGCCCTTGTTAATCGGTTACCCTTAATTAAGATGTTCGCTGGCAGTGGATTGTTTGATTTTAAAATATTATTTATTAAGCAAGCAATCTTATATTGTTTAATTTCCAGAAATGTGAAAATGTGAAGTTGATGAAATATGATATGAGACGGTTGGGAATAGTGGGAGTATGTCAAGATTCTGAGGGCTCTCTTCTGTAATTTAATCAATGGCAAAAGGTAAGTGTCATAAGTTACGCCCCAGGCCTCAATACAATATGTTAAATGACTATGAAATATAGCAAAATATATAAGTTTCATCGTGGGAGTGTCAAAGCATTGTCTCGCCTTCAGTAAGACATAACAAGCGTACGTTAACTTTTTACATGTATTTATAATGTGCTGTTGCCAATGAAGATGAGAATCTAATGTTACTCCCAGATATTGAAATGAACTAACTTCTTCCAGGATTGAATTTCCGATGCAAATTCGGAAGCTGTCGGTATTAACATCTCTTTTTATTGGAACGAAAAACTATATACTTAGTTTTATTTATATTTAAAGTCAATTTGTTAGAATTAAACCACTCCTGGAGAACTGTAAGTTCTTGACTGATTGTGTTTTGTAAGTTATGCAATGAATGGTCCGTGTAAATTAAGACGGTATCATCAGCGTACATTATTTTGTGAGAGTTTAAAGCCATGTTAGGTAAGTCATTAACGTACAATGAGAAAAGTATCGGTCCCAGTACAGAACCCTGGGGAATTCCGGTGTTTATTTGTCTCATCGAGGATTTATGATCTAACAAAGAAACGAATTGCGAACGAGATGACAAATAACTTGTAAAGAAATTTAAAGAGTGACCTCTGAAACCATATCGTTGTAATTTATTAAGAAGAATTTTATGGTCTACGGTATCAAATGTCTTTTTAATATCTAAGAATACACCGATACTAATGTTATTGTCATTTAAGGACTCATTTATTTTCTGAGAGAGAGAGATAACAGCACTAGCAGTTGACTTATTTGGACGGAATCCATGTTGATGCGGGGTGATAATATTGTATTTTTCTAAAAATGAGTTAATGCGTCGTACAATTAATCTTTCGAATAGTGTATTAATCGTGCTTAAAACTGATATAGGCCTATAATTTACAGGTTCATTAACGTTCCCACATTTATGTATTGGGCAGACTTTAGCGATTTTTAGTGAATCTGGATATACACCTTCTGTTATAGAATGGTTAAAGATATGTTCCAATGGAGAGCTAAGTACATCAATATTGCATTTTAAGACCTTAACTGAGATGCCATCAGAACCTGCAGATTTTTTATTAGACATTGAATTAACTAGATTTATAATTTCTATAGTCGTAATTTCTTCAAAAATAAAAGTTTTTGGAAGGAAGTCAGGTAGAGAAACGGAATGTGCACTGCCGCTGGCAATGTTGTTAGCTAGGTGGTCTCCAATATTAATGAAGAAAGAGTTGAATGCGTCTGCAGTCTCATCCGTGACTATAACAGGAGTTGTTTGCTTTTGCGATCTTGGCTTAATAACAGAGTTAATCACATTCCACGTTTTCTTGAAGTCCCCATGACTTTCGGATATAAGTTTAGAGTGATATTCTTTTTTACGCGTTCTTATCAGTGATAGAGATAGGTTGCGATGCATTTTGTATTGTGCCAAGTAGTAAGAATTATGTTTATGACGTTTCAGTTTCTGCTGCCACATGTTCTTCTCTTGAAGTGCGCATAAAATTTGACGAGTCATCCAGGGGCAGATCGGTTCTGAATAATGTGGTTTTCTTAATTCACTCGACGAATCAGCGATTGCAGTTTTTAATACTGTGATAAAATTTCCAAATTCGATGTTGATATCTGAATTGAATAGTAAATCAAAGTTAAATGCCGATAATTTTCTATGCAGAAGTTCGTAATTAATGCGATACCTTAAATGGGGTGTACTAAGGTGAGGTGTTTCTTCAGCGTTTATAGGTAGAAATATGAATATTGGAAAGTGGTCGGCAATGTTTGTCTCATATACACCAGCACCGTCGTGTGCGTCTTGATTACATAAGATGTGGTCAATGAGCGTGGATGAATCGGGTGTCACTCTTGTTGATTCTGTTATTACATTCGTAAAGTTAAATGACTGTGTTAGAAGTAGATAATCTGAAGGCACAGTTTTACACAAATCGATGTTGAAGTCACCACAAATGACAGATTTCTTATTGCTTTGTGAAATAAATGTAAGAATATCTTCCATTTTATTTAGGAACAGAGACATAGATGAATCCGGCGGTCTATATACAACAGCCACCACGACACCATAACAAAGTTCCAAAAAGAGAGCTTCTATATCATTAGTTGAACATGTTAGATGAGGGAGCGCATTAAATAATATAGACGATTTTATATACAGTGCAACACCACCGCCTCTATGAACTGCATTTCTAGGTAGCGAACCCACAACATACCCAGGAATATCAAAATGATCGTCACTTTTTAGCCACGTCTCGGTTATGCCTATTATATCATAAGTAAACGAGTGTTGGGATAGAAAAGCAAGAAGGACGTCTCCATTTTTGTGAATACTTCTGACGTTGCAGTGCAGCACGGAAAGACAAGCTTTCTTTGAGTATAACGTATTCACCGAGGTGACAGAAAGCCTTTTAGTTCAAAGTCTCAATTTATTGTATAGAAGCAGAGGAGGGGAGGGCATTACACAATTTGTACGAGGTCGTCATCACAGGTAATTTGAAACACCTTTGAGTTTTCTGCTTTTCTCATCAGAATCCTACCTCGTGAAGTCCATGTGTATTTCCAGCTTTTCTCACGCTTCAGTTGCAGGGCTTTCCCAAGCAAGATCTTATTTTCCACGCATAGGTGCTCATTGATGTATATTGGTTCATTTGTTGGGAAGCCGAGAGCCGCGGCATTTAGGCGCTGTTTCTTCGCCGCTTGTAGCACACCGTCCCGAACAAAGTCTGCGAAGAATCGAACAATAATGTTTGATTTAGTTTTATCTTTTGTCGGTACTCGGTGGATGGCATCTATGTCCTGACTTGCAATTGTTGTGCGAAGCTTCTCGCCGATGTTTACGATTATTTCATCGAGGGACTCGGTCGGAGACAAAGGGACTCCCTTTATCTCGATATTGCTCCGTCTGCTGTACTGTTTTAGCTCTATCAGTTCTTTCCTTGTTTCTGAAAGCTGATTGTATAGGTCAGTACAGTCTTTGCGGGTTCGCAGTTGTTCGCGCTTTAGCGTGGCTATCTCATTTTGCATTTCTTTGACCACCGTTTTAAATCCTTCAAAGTTGGCATTTATAAAAGACATCGAAGTTTGCACGCCTGCAATTTCATGCTGTATCGCTGCATTGGACGACTTTACGCCAGCCAGTTCGCTTTTTATTTCTGAGCTGTTAGCGTCTACTTTGCTACAGAGGTCAGCGAGAAGTTTAGCAACTTCTTAGTTGCTAAACTAAACTAAAAGAAGGGCTTAAGGCTTTTAAGGGTTAAGTATGTTGATCGGCTAAAAGGGTTTTGAAGCGCCGAGAGAGTTCCACGTCAAAAAACTTCTAAAGCTATTTTTTTTAATAAATTGATTTTGTTTAATAATACTGAAACAAACACTGTAAAACCCTTTATCTTCGCGGCCCCTATTTTTCGCGAATCGGTCACAGATGACATATTCGCGACCACTAAATTTTGCGAATTCCAGACGCCTGCATTGAAAATCTTAAGGACCGAAATTTTCGCGCGCCCTTAACATTCGCGAATTCTTCAATTCGTGAAATTCGCGAAAATTAAGGGTTCGCGAACATTAAGGGTTTTACAGTATATGACTACTTACACGCTCAGGTGTGTAGATTTAAAGGTTTACATTCATGTTCTTTATTAGACCATGTGTACGGAATAATATATTTTTATTTATAGGTAAGCGATTTTCTATCAACCAGGATGAGAGTGCAGAAAATATTTATTCGATGTTATTTCTTACTCGCTAGTGTATGTTCCCGCGAAGAATGCATATGGGTTATCTTCATGTAAACTAAGCACGGCTCAAGAAGTTTTATTTTACACCTTGCTAATGGTAAAAAGGTAGAAGAGTCTCCTTTCAATTATTCTTACTTCTTTTTCTGAAGGGCTACAATCATTTCGCACGCATGGCGGTGACGATAAACTTTTAGATCCGTGTCATTTTCACTGCATTCTTGGTTTGTAATTTGCATCATTAATTGGACATAAAAACAAATGAGCTATCAACTAATCGTTACACCCAGGTATTTTTTGTGACAACCTGTGAGATCTCTTAGATCTCGAATATCAATTTTTTTCTGGACAACCAATTCTATCGGACGAGACCGATGGCTACACAACAGCTTACTCACTATGCAAAACCTTTCTTTAACTCAGTGGCAACTTATTAAAACTTTGAATTGGCTAGTTTGTTCATTGTGATCTACAAAAATAAAAACCGCAACAAAAAAAAAAGGAGGAAGAAGAGACACATACAACACGGACTGGCGCTAACTTTCAACTGATTTAATTAAGGCAAACCACCCAGCACACATGCGTGAACAATCTTTCCCAACATGCCAACCACATGTGATAAAAAAAAAAAAAAACCTTTAGCTCAAACAACAGATGACAATGATTTAAACATTCGGATCAGTTCAGCGTGACTACGAAAAACCATCTAGAAAAGAAACTTCCTTGTCATTTAGTAAAATTGAAGGCGTGCTGAGGCAATTGTCAGCTGAGGGCTTCACAAAATACGCTTCAATTATTTCCCTCTCAGTCTTGTCTCTTGCTCTTTTAATACATATATTTTTTTTAAATTCCAACCAGGGATCTCAACCGCATCACATGCAGTGTACTCCAAGGAGTCCTCCCGCTTTGTTACGAACAGCTAGACGATGTTCCCGCGCCTTTTCATTAAAAAACCGTTCAGCCTGTCCAATATACTCGCGCCCGTACTTTAGCGGGAAGTTGTAAACAACATTAGAGTTTCAATCTGCGTATTGAGGTACGTGCTTCTTCGAGCATTAGAACACGTTTGTGTCTAGTATTCATAGGACAAATATTTGCTAGCTTTCATGGAGCCCAGAAAACAAAATTGACATCGTAGTTAACTGCTATTTTTTTAAGGTTATGCGACACCTTGAGTAAATAAGGTATCACTTGAGTTCTTGATTTTTTAACCTTATCTCGCTGACCGTTTTCTGTGTGGCCTTCACTTTTGATTTTTTTGGGAGGTATTCACAAACGCTGGTAACCAAGCAGGCGGGGTAGCCCGCCCTTTGTCAGTGCTCTACCTGAAGTTCAGAGCTAGTCGTCAAAGGTGATGGCAGCCATAAGTCAGACCAACCTGAAGACAGGTGACACCGATTACTCGTTTTGTCAGCTGAGAATGAGCGCCATCAAAAGACAAGAGACACTTTTTTTTAGCTTGGTTTGCACAACCAGCACTGGTGTTCATCTGTAAAAGCAAGCTGTAGGTCTAAAAACTGAATGCACTTGCTCATGGGAAGCTCTCAGGTGGACTTCAAGCTGTTTGATTTGACCTCAAACAAGTTGAAGACCTTTGTAACGACTGCATTAAAGCACATCCCCGAATAATCATCCACAATAAACAGATAATGATCTGCATGTCCAAAAATCTTAAGCACATGCACCTCATTAAGACCTTACAATATGCGCTTGTCCATAGATGCTAAAAAGATATCGCACAAAACAGGGGCTACCAAGAGACCAATACAAATGCCCGCTTTTTGCACATAAATCTCATCCTTAAAGTTCACGACCCTCGACCTCAGATAAAAGTGTGACAAAGCTAAAACGCGGTCACCGCTAACACCTGTAGAATTTTGACACCCAATATCTCCTGATTTATTGATATTGTCCAGAACAGCATCTTGCACATCAAAATCATCGTTAAAGTTGATGACCGCCGACCGTAGATAAAATTCCAACAACGCTAAAAAGCGTTGTTGGAATTAGTACGATGTCGATGCTGTTTCTTCCGCTCCATGCAAGCTGGCGAAAATTTGTCCTATGATGACTAGACAGAAATGTGTTCAATGTTCAAAAAAGCACGTCACTCAGTACACGGCTTGTGCCTCTAATGTTGTTCACAAGATTCCGCTAACGTACGGGCGCGAGTATATTGGACAGACTGGGAGGTGTTTTAAGGAAAGAGCGTGTGAGCATCTTCTAAAGGTTCGTAGCAAAGCGGGGGACACCTTGCAGTACACTGCTTGCGGCAGGTGTGATCTCCTGATAGAAATAACAAAATTTGCTGAAAGAGCGAATAACAAGACTGAGAGAGAAATAGTCAAGCGTATTTTATGACGTCCTCAAGTGACAACTGCGTCAGCACGCGTTCGATTTTACTAAATGACAAGAAAGTTTCCTTTCCAAATGGTACTGTGTTGTCACGTTGAACTAATCCAAATGTTTAAATCATTGTCATGTGCTGTTTGTGTTTATGGCTTCCTTTTATCATATGTGGTTGGCATGTTGGGAAAGAGTGTTCACAGATGTGTGCTGGGTAGTTTGCCTTGAATAAATCAGTTGAAAGTTAGCGGCAGTCCGTGTTGTTTGTGTCCCTTCTTCGTTCGTGTTTTTTTTTTCTCGCGGTTTTAAGTTTTTTTAAATGGCAATTCATTACACAGACAAAAAAATAAGCATCCATTGATTCGAAAGCTGAGACCAGATCCGTATTTGTCATCCATCAAGACCCCAACAGAAAAAATGTATTTATGTGCTCTTCTATTGCAGATAATACCTAAAAAGTCGTCGATTTATTGCACCAATCATATATCTCTGTAGAGCTTTCAATATTAGGTACGCTTCTTCTAGGAGGCTTTGACTTTTGTCTTCACTCTCATTCAAATGTTACATATTGACAAGGGTCATAGTGCACGCAAGACAATACGTAATTTTTTCTTCAGAGTGAAAATTGAAGTTAACCAACATATTTATATTTTAGCCAATTTACGGGGGTAGATTCTACCACGCGTGTGTGAAAAGATATGTGTGAGCCTGGCGGATTTTAATATAGTCTGAGAAATAGAGTGCATTGAAATAAAATTTGAGCCAGTTGGTTCATAATCAAGCCTACCCATGTAATAGTTTGAGTGCTGTACCTGATTTCGTTCTACTTTGGTGCAAAGAGTAATAGTTCGGAAGTAGGAAAGGATGGGAAAAATCATGAAAATTTTTATTTGGCATTCTACGTGATTTGAAAAAAGATTCTTGGACATTCGAGCTTGAGTCGTGTCTTTAATAATGTTCTGCATTCTAAAATCACCGTATAATATACAAGATGTTTTAAAGGAATTGAAAAATATCCTAAAAAAATGTGATATACGGATGTTAGCAAGCATTTCTTTCAAACAACTGTGAAAAATAAGCTTTTTCTAATTATGATAAAACTAATTTTATGATTCTGACTTTAGTGGTGATAACCCAATTTTAATAGCATATTCAGAGTTGATTTACGATTTAACTTTTTATTTATTTTAAATTCCTTCGTGTATATACCGACCCGTGTTTTACTTGGATTACCGACCAGTCTTTTCACTTGGGTCAGTTTACTAAGTGAAGGTAGGACTGTAACTGAAGGTCGGACTGCAAAGGAACACTTTTGCTTCGTGCGCCCTGAGATTGTGCTGATAATTATTAATTTATTTCTGCGTCGCCTGCTCTGCAGGACGTTTATGGGTGCTTGTTTATCTTTATGCGTCCCTCTGGGTAAAAGAGAGGTGTTGGGAAATAGTGAGTAGTTTATTCTAGCATGAAAAAGCTGCGAAAAGTTAAATGTGATTATTTGTACATCTAAAATCGGCCCTGACCGGCGCCTCTCTCTCTCGTGGATAGCGAACAAAGCCTAGGTCTTGAGTTATTAGTTCCTTTAAGAAATTATGGTTGTTGTTAGCAGAAAAAGGCACAGCGCGTCTTTTTAACTACATCATCGACCCTTAATCTGAAGTGAAGGCCACGTTTAGAAAAACAAGTAGGTTTTTGAAAGCAGTGCGAACAGTCATGCAGGTATTTTTACACCTTGAAGACGACGACACAATTCCGCGCCTCGCTGATGTCTAACGGCATTGCTAATTGCGCGATTTGCAGACAACTTGATCTCCGAATAAACAGGGACGATTCCTTTTCAAAAACTCTTAGAGCCTTGATAAGAAAAAAAAATGTACAAAAGAGAACATGAATTAATAGAGCATTAAGGTTGTACAGGCATTTAAATTAGTATGTATTAAAATGATAATATTATGCAGACTCATATTGATACTAATATTATACGCGCTACGATATAGTACGAACAATACACCAGCATGGATAATATAATATGATCACGGCCTCCATCGCCTTTACCGCAAACGCGGTCAGTTCAATATCTTACGTAACAGCCTC